TTCATGTCTTTAAACACTTATCTATCCATAACTGGTTCTAGCTGGAATAAATCACCCAGTGCAATAACACTAACACCCCCAAATGCCTCTTTGCTGCCTTTAATATCTTTTAATCTATTGTTTATTTGTACATTAAACATGGTATTTCCTACCATAGATATCTCATCTAGAAATATTAGTTTAAGTGCATGAAGTTTGCATCTCAAAGTGTTAAGTCTACTAGAGTCTAGTGGTTTGTCATTCTTAAGTGATTGGCATGCTGGTATTTGCAAGGTACTATGTATTGTGTTACCTCTGATAGAAAAAGCAGCTTTTCCAGTAGGGGCAAGCAACAATATGAGTTATAATATTTTAATGCTGCCTGATATAATGCTTTGACAAGATGGGAATTACCCACTCCAGCTCCTCCAGAGAGAAAATAGTAAAATGGTTTGTCTGATGTTTTAATAAGATGCAAGACATGATAAAAAAAACTATTTTTGCTTTTTATTTAGTGTTTGTACTAATTGTCTATAATCATTGTCTTGCAGCTCATTTAATATTAGTGGTTCAGTACTTGTTGTCACAGAAGGAATTCCAACATCTTCTGATAGGTCATAGTTCTCATTGAAGTCAGGATGTAGGTCATGAACACCTTCATACTCATCTTGGTATTCTATATTTTGAGTAAATGGTGCTATTGAATGAAACTGATCATCACTCAGAATATTATCATTTATGTGCTCCTGAATTTTATCAATTTCATCGCTGTAAACAGCATATTGTTTCATTTGGTCATTTATGGCATCTTTCATAAGTAAAAATCGGGCCTTATAAGAAGAACAATTGGATATTAAGTCAGTTTCCTCATTTCTTCATGATGTGAAGAGCATAATTAACGGTAGTATTTCTCTGGGTCTTTTTCTTTGTTAAACCAAACACTTCTAATAATTCTAGCTGATGATCTTTTTCTATTTGTTTCCTTATTGCTCCTACTTTCATCAGGAAGGGTATCATCATTTTCATCAATGCCTGTTTCTAAAGGAAGTTTATCTGTGTCATTTTGAAAAGATTTCTTTACATAAGGCTTTTGAGACAAGTCATACCATGCTACCCAATCTGCTAATGTTAGGTGTTCAAGGCTGAAGGACGTTTTACATATCTCTGCAACAGACCAGTTGTATACACTTCTTCACAATCATCTTCCATTTCTTTCATTTCATTAAGTTGCTTGAGGAGCTGCACTCTTTCATCGGGAGGTGCAGTATTTATGAATACCACTCGTTGTGATGACTTCTTCATAGGGAGCTGGAGAACAATGTATACAGCTTCTTGTGCACTAATTTCAACACTATTTAAAAATTTGTTTCCAATATCCCTGACTTGTTGCTTGATGTTAGAATTTTCTTTCCTTGCTTCTGCACATGCTTGTCACAAAAGTTTACTCATTCCTTTTTGTGCTTTAGAAATATATGATACTATATACATAGCACACGCATAGATGTCAAGAACAAATTGAATATCCATGTTTGCTCTCCATGCTTTAAGGCAAGTTGGGTTGTAACTATTAATTCTTAACTCACTTGGTTCTCTTTTTAAAAATATAGTTGGAGAATTCAAAGCTGTCCTGATAGCTAATCGATAGTTATTTTCAGTAATACTTAGTTTAAGAAGCAGCTCCTCAAAAGTAATTGATTCACCATCCTTTAAATCATTTAGTTGCTTTTTAATAGTTTTCCAAGTTTCTTTATGTTTTTTAATTTCGTGTTGTGATATATCTGAACCTAAAGGATACATGATTTCAGTTGCTCTCATAGGAGGTTGCGGGTAATTAAATTGACATTCACTCTTTGACTTCTTTCGACATGTGTGAGAATGCCTGTGAATTTGTCTGTTCACTAGTTTCTGCAGTTGTGGGTCATCAATTGGCCATTTACAACTTACAATCTGATCAATGAACGTTGTAACAGTTGCATCATCATCAATTCCAAACACTGGTGCACTTTCTAGCCATATAAGCATATGGATATGAGGTGAACCTCGTTGTTGAAATTCTACTCTATAGAACCAGTCAGATATCCTTCCTAGAGGTTGGCACTTATTCAAGAGGAAGTTAGTGAGAAATTGACTGATCTGATAATCAAAATGTCTGGCACATGATACTGGGTCACTTTGAATTAACCTACATTTTTCATCCCAGTTCATATTTTCCAGATGAGTATCAGTGTACTGTTTGTGGTCAACCAACTCTCCAAGTATTCTGAGCAAATGGATCCACTGAGTTTCTGCTGAAGAGAAACTACAAAATAACACTGAAGGCTGGTCCTAATTGTCTTATCATGGCAAACAAGTCTTTCTTTGCTTTTTCAAATTATGGTAGGGAACCTCTTAATGCTCTAAGAAACTGAAATCCATCATCATGATGAATCAATTTCTCTAATGCTCCTTCTTGTTTAAGTTGTGCTGCATTTAAAGTTCTGCTATTCCCTTTGCACTTTCTAAGAGCAACTTGGGAATTTCCTAATAGTATTTTCATTTGCAGTTTCTTTGTTTTAAAGAATATGTTTTCAACACACATAGCCGCTCTTCTATCTGACTGCCTCAATTCAGATTTACAAATGTCACTGTAATGCACGCTAACCAATCTCTCTTTATTTTCTGAAGCCTTTCACTCGTTCACATTGAACCGTGCTTCGAAAACTGTGGCATAATGAGAAACAAACTTTGAGGAAATTCATTATAAAGACTCCACAAAAGACCGCTTCACTTACCTACTTCACCATCCACGCGTGGGTTTGACTACGCACAACGTCGAAAGAAAACATTACCTTTTCATCGACTTGTTGTTTTCTTCGCGTTTCCAAATTCCATTGGTCTCGACTATTCCTCGCTCTGTTTTTTTCTTGAATGGGATTCGTCGTAGTTTTTTCGTTTCCGACTCCCCGCGATTATAAATCGATTTGTTTACACATTTTTTGGTTAACATTTTCTTTCCCCCTACATGTCGACCATCACAAAATGTATACTTTCATGTGGCCTTACTAGTATGACCTCGTAATTTGTGGTATATGAAGTATTTTTCGAAATTTTTTGCACTCTTCCATAGGTGTCTTCGTGCTAAAGCACTAGACACCAAAAATGTCAGTGCAATGGCCATCAATCATGCATGTCACATGATACTTAACAATTGCGCTACGGTTATTTTTTCAAGGTGAAAGAGTGCAGAGGCAAACCAACTCGTGTGACTGTGGCTTGTTTGCACCAGCATCTGTTAAAGATTTTTGTCATGGCATTGACCCAACAACCTAGTGATATGACCAAGAATTATATGTAGGCAATATGAAAACTACCTGGAATTAAGGGATAGTAATATAATAATATTAAAAACTTTATTTTAGTGTCAGAAAAAATAGAATTTTTCCAGATTTAATTTTCTAATAGTCCTCCTAGAGCCAGCTAATGAGTCTGAATCAATTCCTTCCCATGCCCATACATGTGAAGATGCAGCAGTATGCCTTTTTGTGGAAATCTAATACATTACAATTCTTTAAAATCAATCTTCACAGTTTTTTTAGCCATGCATATAAGTTTTACTCAGCGTTGTGAATTGCGATTATATAAACTTAACTACCACGGTTGGGTCGGGTCATTTGTATGGATTTCCAGAGAAAAGAATTTTTTAGAGGTACCGTTCATGAACAAGATCAACCGAAACCGGGACGCCAGAAAGCCAACAGAACAAACATTTGCTGACATGTCATATTCGAAATATCGCTAAATCTAAAAGACAACAAATTAATCAGTTTAAAATTGCCAGAAGCTGGCCGACATGCTTTTCTTCGTTTACGTTCAACCCGCATTACCAACAATCCAAGAAAAGATGACGATATCGCTCATTATGCAAGCTTTTCGGGCCCTTTAAAAATGGCTCCCGCTTAGTAAGGCTTGTGTGAGATCATAACTTTTAAGCTGGGTAACAGCGTTCATGATAACTTGGTGAAAAAAATGGTGTTCAAGCAATGATAATCGAACCTCAATACAAGCTAATACACTAACCGTTACCAACATGTAAGGTATCTTTCGAGGTTTCATACGGGGAAATAACTCCTGACAACTACAATAATCTCCCATATGTTCCCTGTAAATTTTCATCAAGTGCCACCACAAATCCTTCGATCTCTGCTTGAGTAACAAACGAGTCCAAAAAGTGGTCTTCGCATTCTCCCTTCGAAGGTTTTCCTCTCGTAACAGCCTGTTTTTGGATCAATTTCCCATAGTTTGGAACAGGGAATTTTTCTCCTAAAACTGCCTACTTTTCCTCTATTAAGTATGAGCAGGGGAGCCAATTATTAAGCTTTAAGTACGACGAAATTCTCGCACAAATCCAAGCAAAAGAACACCCAAAAGAAGGAAATCTGTTCGCCATTTTGAAAAACGTAACCAGGCCTGTAATCAGAGAAGGAAAAAAATAATTAAAAAAAAATAAAATAAAATAATAAATTAAAAAAATAAAATAAATAAATAGACTCAAGATGGGTAGGGAAGAAGCGGTAAAAGAATTCAACTTTTATGTAATTTGTTGGGAAGTAAAAACGTATTTGTAACGACATTTCGTTCCAAATATGACAAGTAAGTAAGCTGAATGCTCCATATGGAAGATAGGAAAACAAAGAAATATGTTCATTCACTATCGGCTGAAGAAAATCCATTTAATTGGGCATTATCGTTATGAACCGTGAACGCTTGACACTACGGCCCACCATTTTGGATGCATCTGAGCATACGTCAGCGAGTTTCCGCTGGATTGCCTCTTAAAATATCGTGGGAGCAAAACGTTACCTGTTACCACGCCCTGGTCTTAGTAATTCCGTTTCCAATAATTTGTTTTACAATCCCCATTTGGAGCGAGACACAGTTTGCTTGTTTTCTTGGGAGACGTTATTACTAATGAAAATTATGGTTTTCTTGATGTTTTATTGTCGGACATTAGTTCTAGCTGATGCCATTCTAATCGCTTCTAGGTGGAATCTTGACAGAGAGAATCTTTAACTTAGCAAGTGGGACGTCTAGCTTCACGCAATCAGTACTCGACGCTAGGTATGTTTCGTAAGCTGAGGTATTTTACCATAGTTCTTCTTTCAAAAATAATCACGTATCGTTGGAGGCTTTTAACTGTTGGAGTTATTTTGGCCACGTCGGTCTTAGGTATTTTTCTCAGCTTCCGTCAAACTCCGCATCTCAGACAGTCTGGACCTAGTCGCGAATGTAAAACTTGGAAAGAATCTCTACAGCACAAAACTACTCTGATAACAAAGACTCCATGTGCAAGGAACTACTTTCTTCTCATCCTAGTTTCATCTGCACCTGCAAACCAAGGTAGAAGAAATCATATTCGTCAAACCTGGGGCACTGATAACAACGTGTCTCCAATGTGGAAGACATACTTTCTGATTGCGCAAACAGAGAATCAAACACATTCAGATTTTGTCCATAACGAAGACAAAGTCTATGGCGACATAATTCGCGCTGACTATTACGAGAATTACTGGAAACAGAGTTTTAAGGTTATGATGGCCTTTGAGTGGGCATCGCGATATTGCAACTTCTCGTACCTCCTAAAGACAGATGATGACATATTGGTCAATATCGAAGACTTTATTCAATTTTTGCAGAAGAAATCAACTCCCAAAAAAGAACTTTTCGTAGGAAAACTTCATCACAACCCTATCGTACGTCGAGAGGGGAAATGGAACGTGAGTTACGAAGAGTACAACCACACTCACTATCCAGATTTCTGTAGTGGGGCCGGCTTTGTTATGACCTATGACGTTATCGAGTGCATTGTTCCCTTGTTCGACGTGATTAAGCCGTATAGGATGGATGATGTGTATTTAGGAATGCTTGCCCATGCATCTGGCGTGATAGCAGAGGATCATGTTGGGTTCTTTATGCCAATTGATGATTATGACGACTGCATTTTTAAACCAAATGTTCTTCTGCAGCACAGAGCGACTGGACAGTGTTTAAATAAATTACTTCGTATTCACAGTAAGGACTTTCTGTATGGCATAAAATTGGGTTCATTTTTTTGATAATTTGTCGATTTAGTTAATCATCATTTTACTAGAAAAGAACATATGGGTACAAAGTATTTGGTAACAGCTGTATTGGCAGACGATCGTGTGTCTTGTAGAACGGGCGATTGGAGCAATTTTAGGGTCTATATCCACCAGACCATGGGTAATCTAAGAGAACAGTAACATATCTAAGTACTCATGCCAGTAGCTGATGGGTAGTAAGGAAAAGGCTTTCAGCCGTTGTTCATAACTCTGGCATATCAGTCAGTAATTGGCCATCTCGACACAAACCCTAATTATCTTTTGTATTCAAGCACAAGTGGCACTAAATTGATCGGAATTCATTGTAAGGTAGACTTTCAAATGAGAACTTAAATTAATTACGAGTAACGTTTGTTTTTGTGCACGAAAATGCACAGAATACAAATTGTCAGAACGTTCAGTCAGTAACGCTGGAGAATTGAAGACTTTCGAAAAATTAGGTTTTCATGAAGTATCACCCAAAGCTGCGTATTAAAAAGTATTTATATTATAAGCTCATTTATGCATGCATTCTGATTGGTTCTCACTTATGATCTATTGGAGGACAGACGTATAGATGACGTCATCATTAAAACTTTTTTAAATTCTCTATTATATAAAACAAATAGATTCCAAGTTACCGTGCGTCTGTTCAGTAATAGATCACAGAGGACGTCAAAATGTGGTAAGAACATCAGTGACACACTCGGCTGCGCCTCGTGTGCCACTTTTTTGTTCTTACCACATTTTTACGTCATCTGTGATCTATTACTGAACAGACGCACGGTAACTTGAAATCTATTTGTTAAATAGTAAGTTGCAGTATTCTACGATTATACCACAAAGGCTGATTGAAATGCTCTCGAAATTTGTGGATACTAGCAAAGGTTCATGATAATTGACCTTCCCACTATTGAAAATATTGCTTGTGAGAGAAATAGAGAATAAGAATGAAGTACGTTCATTTGCTTAGAGAAAGACCAAACCATAAATGAATGAATCACAGACTGGTTGATGTGTTGATTCTATTTATGAATATTTCTGGCAGTTTTTTTTCCTGATTAAGAGTATAAACTTGTGTCGATGTCAAGCAAACACATTGTTGATCATGCAAACAAAACTCACGATCAAATCAAGATGACAGGCATTCCCTCATGTTCGTAGTTTCAGCTTTTTGAAATATTGAGCAGGATAACTAATTGCAAAAATTTGGTCGGTCGTCTACAGACGCGCCAAGGAGGCAGCTCCGAATCAATCCAAAGCAGCTCTGTGATTAACTTTTTAGCTTTAACAGTCGAACACCTTTCCAAACCGTAAGGTACTGTTACTGTCCTAAAAAAGAGAATAGATTGTCTTAGAACTAAAGCAAAACTAACCTTGGTAAAAAATTCGTTCAATTTCTTATTAATTGCACGCTGCTCCCAGAGTTCCGCGCGGCGTAATGAATAGTTTCGCCAATTTCTTAATTAATAATTTACATGGAAACATTACTCAGTTCTGATTGGTTAAGATGAATGCAGTTTTCAGGTAATTCAGTGCAGAAGAGGGTTAACTAGGTGCAAAGAAAGTAACAATTCTGATCGGTCAATAATCAAAGAAAGTCACAGATAGCCAATCAAATGCGAGCCTTGGATGTCGCAACAAAATTTGAAAATTTGCGAGCGAAACAATGGCCGGCGTTTTAAGTTGGTTTTCTTTCGCCACTACAGCTGAAAAACAGCTCAAATGACGAAAACACTGTCAAAAGCACTGCTTTTTGGTTGTCGGTTTGGAAAAAGTGGTGTTTAGAGAAGGGAATTGCCAAGGAAATCGAAAATTACGAGCCGACCCAGCTTAACACTTTGCTCGAGCAATCCAACGCCGAAATTAAAAACAAACATGGTTAAACCTCGAAAACGACGATTCCATTTTATCGAAAGTGCTTCGGAAATAGACTGAACAATTCCTTGTTCATATTTCATCACGCTATTTTGTATAGGTAATCACATGAATTTTCTCGTGCAATTTGGAATAAACAAGCAATTGTTAATGTTTTCAAAGACCACAAATTGTTTTAACACATTTTGTTAGTCTTTAAAAAAATTTATATTACTCGAGCTTATTTATTCCAAATTGCACTCGAAATCATGTGATTACCTATACAAAATAGCGTGATGAAATATGCAAAGGTCTCAGAGGGACTGATGTTTGCCTGAATGAAATAAAAAAGTAACCTCATAATTTCCTTATTGTGCCAGCAGATTTACATCTTGATCGCCCATAATGCTTTTTTTCTGAACAAAACCTTTAAGCTGTCACAAAAGTAGCGGCGACCGTCAAGAAAGGACAACGAAAAGGTAAAACTGCCCTTTTGCGAAGGCTCGTTGAAAGACAGCCTCGTACTTAAACAAGGAGAACATTGAGTTAAGCTGAAACTCTTTCTTCGCCGGAAATTTAAGTATATCTATGTCATAATGATGAGAAGTAAGAGAACTTTGATCGTCCTTGAAAGTGTATCATATATTGCTACTTGTCACGGTCTAATGGGGTCGCAGCCAGTAAACGCGAACCCAGTCACCTGCTTTAGACCGCTGTCCATCTGTACAGCTGAGAACATTTTATATATCACTTGGGAAAGAGAGCGAGCAAATATTTGGTGGGTAGCAATAAAGTTTTGATTTCAAAGCTGACAAGCGTAATGTACATTTTCTCTAATATATTTTTACAGAGGAATACTTTTTTCTTGCTGAAGCATAGCTCCTATCTAAATACTAATTTATCTCATAAAAGATGCAAACTTGCATATATTACACTCTACATTTAAAAAAAATTATAATAAACGTTTTTTAGTTAACGTTGACTAAAAAAAGACAGTAACACCAGCCATTTATTTCATGTCACCTTAGCCTCATAAAATACTAAAATACTCGTGAAATTCTTAGGGAAACTGATTAATGCTGAATCCAAGCAAGTACAAATTTCAAAATGCCACGAATTTCTGCTTATTTTCATTTTTTTTTTATTGAAACACCTGTTTTTTCACCTGTACAAATTGGATACAGTGTTCAAAACAACTCAGAATTCTTCTTATTAAAGGCAGAAGCTTCTTTTTCAAAGAAATCAGAGCGAACTGGCATAAAGCTAGGAAGTTCTGGTAGAGTTTGAGTGAGGTAAAATTCTCACTTTCGTGATGTCTGCACGGCCACCAGTAGCTGTGTTACTTGGGGTACTTTTCGTGCTGGGTAAGCTTATTGAAATGTGATTTCTCAACACTGTACGAAGTCAAGATATGATTCAGGGCACGTAAGAAGAAACGGCAGCACTGCTCCCAATTCTTTTCACGAACAAAAGTTACGACTTTTCATCAGTGAAGAATGCACATATAGATATGTTTGGGAAAGGCGAAGAAAAGCGTTGTAAAACAGAAAAGCTGCCAACTAATTTTTTTTCATGAAAGCTACTAGATTTTTGGATGCCTTGTTTGCTCCTAAAAGTCATGCAGTATTTGCTTGAATATTACGAAAGGAATCTTATCTAATGGAACCCCGAGTAAGATTTGAGAAAAAGATCTTGGCAGCCTTACACATCATAGCTCTTTTTGTTTGTCTGTTACTCAAGTCCGCTCATCATATACCTTGCGCATCAATGTTTAATGCTATCATTCTTTTTCAGGAGCACTGCCCAAAGTTGAAGGTAATCTAATGGCGTTTTAAGTATCTGGCTGATCCATGAAAATATTTATTGTCGTACGACACACGTTGAGCACCACCTTCTTACTTGAAACAAAATGAATGAAGTGGACACTCAACTCTGCCAGATGTCCTTAAAGAGATGCTGCGTTCAGTGCCTTACTTACATACCAAACAGCCAAAAAAATAAAAAAATAAAAGATCTGAGATATAAATTGATAAATTCAGCTTCTTACTTGAGGGGAACGACGGCCTGCGATCTCACGAGACACGTTTGTGTTATGCCAGGCCACACAGTGGCAACCATAGCATTTGGCTTTAGTATAAGATAGCAGGCAGTGAAAAGTCACATCTTTAGTTCGATACTGAGTACCTTCTGTGGATAAAAAAAGCAAATCAGGTAGGTCTAAATTTGAATCAGCTTCAAACAAACCGATTTTGTTTGAAGCTGATTGCCAATAGGTATTACTCTTTGTTTTCCTTCTATAAAGGCTCTTACGAACAGGAGGCCTTAGAAGCACATAACAATTATCGCAGGATCCATGACGCCCCACCAATGAGGCTGGACTCTAATATGAACCAGCAGGCAGCAGCCTATGCCCAGCGGTTAGCACGCATGGGTACACTGCAGCACTCGAGTTCTAGTGAGAGACCAGGCCAGGGTGAGAATCTCGCCATGGCTTGTCGGTCTGGAGGCCTGTCCGCGAAAAGAGCTGTTGATATGTGGTGAGTACTGAAAAAGAACATTTCACTCACAACTTGTTTCAAGGGAAAACAATGCCTTTGTTGCTCTTGCTGTTTTTAATAACTGAGTAATCCCATGTCAGGTATCAATTTTATCAGTGTAAAAAAAAGTGCTGTCACGGTTAACATAACACATGATTTGACGTGTGAGTCATATAATAGCGATTCCTCGAGCAAGTTCTACGATTTCACTGCTAAAGTTCAGTTCATTCCGAACGTCCCTCTTTCTTAAGCTTCTAACCTTTCCTACTCGTTTCTTTCTTTCCTCTTTCTACCGAAGGTATAAAGAGGTTTGCCAATACAATTTTAACAATCCTGGATTTGGATATGGCACAGGGCACTTCACGCAGGTAGTTTGGCGAAAAAGCGTAAAATTAGGAATGGGCTCCGCCACGTCCGGAAGATGCACCTATGTTGTAGGCCGATACAGCCCTGCGGGGAATATGATGAGGGACTTCAGGGACAATGTTGCGAAGGGAAGTTTTGAAAAGAGTAGTTATTGTAACGGGGGTGGTGGAGGCGGCGGAGTCGGCGGCGGCGGCGGCGGTGGTGGTGGCGGTGGCGGCGGCGGCGGTGGTGGTGGCGGTGGCGGCGGCGGCGGTGGTGGTGGTGGGTGGCGTCCAGGGGGAGGTGGAGGTGGAGGAGGGTGGAGACCTGTTGGAGGCGGGGGTGGTGGTGGAGGTGGCTGGAGACCTGTCGGTGGAGGTGGAGGAGGAGGAGGAGGCTGGAAACCTGTGGGCGGAGGAGGAGGAGGAGGAGGCTGGAAACCAGTTGGGAACGGATGGGGCCGGAGGCGCCGCTGACCATCCGAGTAATTTGTCTTTTGTTCCCGTTGAGCGAGCAAATAAACCAGATATTACATGATTTGTTTTTTGAAGTGTACTGTTTCATAGCGGTATTTTTCTTGATCTTACACCTTTCAACTTTGTCCCAAAGCACTCAACGGTTACTGATTTAAGTACCTTCCGCCAGCTTTTACCTTCAATTTAAGATTTTTACATCATATATTGTTTTCAAAGAACACTAGTAGGAGCTATAAATGATCTCATAAGTTTTCCAATCCCTTTTCATCACCATAAGGAGCTTACTAGGAGCTCAGCGTTAGATTATACACGTGTACGCGCTGACCTCAGCAGAATCTCTACGACAAGTTATTCCTGAGGTATCGTCAAAAGCAAAATGTATGTAGCATGGAAAATAATCAGTGTGACATGCCAAACGAACAATTATTATCAACTAGAAGGGTAGTAGGTATGGTTTATATGAGAAGTCATTGGAAGGTCAGAATGATCTCTCTCTCAAGGAAAAGTAAATGAAAAGCTTTACGGGTCAAGTGTTTTATAGCTATTAGACTTCAGGGGATTTTTTAGGGAGTACTAACATAAGTAACACGTGCAAGCTGTATTTTCTAGAAGGACATTGCCTAAAATGGTGCAACAGTTCACTCAGATAAAGTGTAATTCAATTATAATACTTTCAATTTGAATTTATATTTATTTATTATTTCTATTTTGATTCATTCTAAATCAACATTTCCACTTTAGGTTTTTTTTTTTAATAACTCGAAGATTTATAAATATTTCATGGGTGGCAAATTATGAAAATATTTCGTCTTAACCACTTGACTTATTTTGATCTAAATTATACCATTTTTGACTGACTTTCCTATCTAAACACCCGCTGTTGCACCTGTACAAACGTCAATTATAAGCTAACACGACCCCGCCTTATTCATAAAGGCACGAGAAATATTGAGAAGAAAACAGTGGGTACTCTGAACTCGGTGTTCTGAAGAAGTTTGAGAGGGGATTTTTCATTCCTCTCTCGCAATGTCTCAAAAAACATCTTTTGTTGTGTTGCTGAGGACACTGTGCATGTTAGGTAAGGCCCTGGGGTAATGTAAAATACCTTCATAGGAAAGCTAAGTATCCTGAATAATTTGTAGCGTGAGAGCATTTTATGTTCATCCCGGCCGAGAAACAAATGAGTTTTCGTTTGCACAGACAGAAAAAGGGGAAAAAAGCGTAGAAAAAGAGAAAGCCGGAAAGTTACTTGATGATAACGCTAAGGAACTTACGATAACACGTCCTTCTGCCTTTATATATTGCCAGTGGTTGAATTTTTTTCACGTAATCGCCCTATTCCGAGGGCAATCATTTATTGATATCAAAAGAATTCTGCAAACCTATCCGAAGTCTCGAAGTGCAGAGGAGAGTTGAGAAACTTCAAAAATAAATCTGAATTAATCCTTAATTGCTTAGGAAATTATTGCGAGTAAATGTTTTTATATGATGTGAAAAATATTGTGTAAAGAAAAAATTCCTAAGTCGTACCTTTCAGAACAGCGTTTCGAAAACTTCTTCAATTAAATAATAGTGCTAAAAACCAAAAGTATGATAAAAAAAAAGTAATTGGAATTTTGAATCAAAGGTACAATGCTTTTTGAGAAACACAAGTATATTTATCTAACAAATTTTCCTTCAACTTTAAAAATAGAACTCGGCGGAGTAGGACACTCTCTCAGACTTTGAAAATATCCTTGAAAAGAGACTTTATTAAGTCATCTCGTCCTCGATGAGTTTTTATTTGACAAGTCTTTGCTGGCTTCACGGTCAGGTTCTTGAACCAGTCGAGGGAAACTTGTGACATGTTGCAATTCACGTTTTTGGTACCAGTTGCATTAGCACACATGTAGCTACTTTTCCGATCCTTCTTCTAAAAATGCTTGATGTACCTTTAAGATCCTTGTCGTATAATACCCGGCCGATTGAAAGGCTTTTTCTCTACCGCTTATTCAGGAGGGTATTTGCATCATTTGTTCTCAATAAAGTTTTTTAGGCAAAATTAACACCGATTTTTTTTTTCTTAAAGCCTGGAGGCATTTCCAAATAGTTTTTCATTTGTCTGAAGCTCTCGTCATTTTGAGAGAAGTTTATTAAAACACTAGTATAAAGCTGCTTTTACAAATAAAAAAGGCAGTTTTTATCAGCCAATCGATATTCAGTTGAATGGCAGTTGATTTTGATTCAAAAGTTGCACTCGAAGTGGAACACGTAAACGCTTTTGGAGATGCTCAAGGACATATAATTTGACACAGTTTTCATTATCAAGGCGAGGGGAAGAAAATTTGGGTGACACAACGTGAGTTCACTGATCATCAAATTCTCATAATTGCCAATTTCCTTCTCGTCTCTGGAGATCTCTTTATATCTTTTATCATTTTTTTTAGGGAGGCTGCTTTATGTTGAAGGTAAGTAGCAAAAAGTTCCTTAGATGCTTCATTGATTAGTTTAATTATTTAGAATTGTGTATTTTTTCCTGTATGAAGTCTGTGCGGAATGTGAAGGAAACGCTCGACGGAAAAAAAGTAGTTTCAGGTTCGTTTTCAGAGTTCTGAAAAAGAGATCCCTTGCTGACTATTATTAACGTTCATACTCTCACAACTATGGAAGCTCACCAGATGTCATCAATGACTTAAAATATAGAAATACGTGATGATTCTTTATGAATTCTATCTAAAGAAACCTATCCCTAAAGTAAAACCATGCACTTTACGAAATGGACATTTTACCTGACCAAATGATTAAAAAAGCGAAAGAATAGATTCATTCATGAACACTCACTACTATTTTTTAAACTCTTTGATAAAGGATAATGCATTTGTCTCAGTTCCATAATGTTGCACTCACTTCATGATTTAATTGCTTGTTCCCTTGATAGGACTACGTCATTTGGTCCTCACTACAAGTTGCTGTAACTTTGGTGGATAAGTAGGTAAGAATTCTAACAAAATACCTTTTTTTAAAATCAATCTAGGATCGTTTGAGCAGGAAGCTTTACAAGCACATAACAATTATCGTTCGATCCATGACGCTCCACCAATGACGCTGGACTCAAGTATGAGCCAGAGTGCAGCAGCCTATGCCCAGCGGTTAGCGCGCATGGGCACTCTGCAACACTCGAGTTCAAGTGAGAGGCCGGGCCAGGGGGAGAATCTCGCCATGGCATGTGGGTCTGGAGGCTTGTCCGCAAAAAAGGCTGTTGATATGTGGTGAGTGCTGAAAAGGCATAAAAGAGCATTTTACCAACAGCTTGTTTTCAGTGCCTCTGTAAAAAACGTGCTGTTGTGAATCGCGTAACACGCATTTCCTACGCGCGAGTAATAAACTAATGATTCTACATTAAGCTCTATAGTATGCATTCTATATTAAAAACCTTGAGAAAGTTTACGAATGAAAAGATGCAAAGCCGTTCAGTATTCGGTCAGTCAAGTTGGCTCGAAATCGCCTCAATTATTTCCGTGAACGAAAAGAAATTGTGCACAGTCTCTAAGATGCGTTGCTCATAGTGACGTTTTTTTTCTGATTTTCCAGGCTATTTTGTTTAATAATTTCTTAAGCTACCTTTGCTGTGCTCAGAATTTATTTTCTCCAATTTATAGCTCCTTATCATGTCACTTATTTCTTAGTTTAATAAATACATTGCTAAAACGAACTTTACCTTCAATTATTAACATGGCCGAGAAAAGGTTTTGTGTCTAAATATTTTCCAATAGAAGATGATATTCAAAGGTCCTTCTTTCTTTCAATTAGTTCCTCACTCCTTCTTTTCAACCATAGGTACGAAGAAGTTTGCATGTACAACTTTAACAATCCCGGATATGCGTCTGGCACAGGGCACTTCACACAGTTAGTTTGGAAAGGAAGTGACAAACTGGGAATGGGACACGCCACGTCCGGGCAATGCACCTACGTTGTAGGACGGTATAAACCAGCTGGGAATATGAGGGGTGACTACGAGAATAATGTTATGAAGGGAAGTTTTAGTAAAGAGGAATATTGTAATAAGGGAGAGGGAGGTGGTGGCTTGGGACCTGGAGGTGGAGGTGGTGGGTGGGGAGGTGGCGGTGGTGGTGTGGGCGGAGGCGGTTGGGAAGGTGGAGGCGGGTGTGGAGGTGGAGGTTGGAAACCCGGAGGTGGGTGTGGAGGTGGAGGCTGGAGACCTGGTGGTGGAGGCGGGGGTGGAGGCTGGAGACCTGGTGGCGGAGGCGGAGGTGGAGGTTGGGGACCCGGTGGAGGTGGTTGGAGACCCAGTGGTGGAGGTGGAGGTGGAGGTGGAGGTGGAGGTGGAGGTGGAGGCTGGAGACCCAGTGGTGGAGGCGGAGGCTGGAGACCCGGTGGTGGAGGCGGAGGCGGAGGCTGGAGACCTGTAGGTGGAGGCGGTGGTGGAGGCGGTGGTGGAGGCTGGAGACCCAGTGGTGGAGGTGGTGGTGGAGGTTGGAGACCTGGTGTTGGAGGTGGTGGTGGGGCTTGGAGACCTGGTGGTGGAGGTGGTGGTGGAGGTGGTGGTGGAGGCTGGAGACCTGTAGGTGGAGGTGGTGGTGGTGGTGGTGGTGGTGGAGGCTGGGGACCTGTAGGTGGGGGTGGCGGTGGGGACTGGAGACGTTGAGGTGGTGGATGAGGTCGGTGCTGCTGTCAACTACTGATTAAAGTATTTCTGAATAAAAATAAATATCCACTTAAAAGTTGTATGAGATTGAATTCAAAATTTTGAATTAAAAGATATTTGTTTCCCCTGAGCAATACCAACGAAATGCGCAATTTATGTTTGTTAAAGTTATTCGATCGCGGTAAGGAGACCATTCTTATTTAGGTCAGTGAGGAAGCTGTGGGAGGTAATAGAAGAGATGGAAAGTGAAGAGAATCTCTTGCTTACTGAGAATTTGACTTTCCTATCGATTTTTCTCCACTCCAAGTGCTCAACCGAGGAAACGTTTCTCCTCCATCAGTCTCTAGTTTTGTTATGATGCGCTAGTCTTCTACAGCGGTTTAAGTGGTTTCGTATTTTCTTAAATTGGTCAAGTCGATGACCACGCTTTGTCGGTCAAAAATGCAATGGTTGTGCTCCTCTTTTTCTTTCACAAGATGATTTGGTTTTATCAACTGAGCTGATGATGTAAATTGGTCACCGTAAAGAATCCAAAGCTGACGTTTCGAGCGTTCACCTTTCGTCACAATCTCCTTCTAAATTACTGAGCGAGACAGAATTTCAACCTGTATCGTTCCAGTTGAAAGTCTCTTTCGTAGTTGATGCTTTAATGAGATGCCCCATAAAGCCTCACAAAAGCAAGGTGTAGGTCCGTTCAAAGAGAAGAGAGAATAGCAAATGCTAGGATTGTGGCATTTTATAAACTTTTGGGACAGCCACATTGGAGCTTGCCATGACCATGACAACAATCACAACAACATCACGCTCATCGGGGGGTTATTGAAGCAGCCCTCATATATCATCACTCAAAAAACAAAGACGTGTCAACCAATAGGCTGATTTGAAGGATAATTATGAAACAAGGATTTTCAACCGGCAGATCTTTCAGCCAGATATTTTTAGGCGTGTTACAGTCCACTATCACTTAACATGTACAGAAATCTTTTTTTTATCGTGGGATCATCCCACGTCCCCTTAAACCCCTGATCTAAGGCGCGCAGATTCTTCATACCCATTACCAGATCCCTGCATAGAGCTCTCTTTCCTCGGCCAAATGCTAAATTTGTGTTTGAATAAGGAACAAAACTGAAAACGGCCAAAAGGAAAAGGTGAAAGGATCATTTAGAGACTAATAACTTAATTTAGCCTTTAAAACAGCAAATGGTTGAATGTACCAATCATTTTTACCCACAGAAATTCCGGTTTTCAACACTGTCTTTGACGCAAGATTTTTCACCTTTTTTCAATGTCAGGGGGTTAAAAGACACAGCTGGAAAACCCATAATGTACGTGCGTGGTAGGATATTGGGGTCGCTATGGTTTGGATATAAAAATATTTGATCTGGAAGAGTTACATGCATGTCGGGTCTAAATTGTTTTGAAAAGCAACACCGTAGGGTTCATAGATAATTTATTTCGTAAAAGGAGGTACGTGGGTGAGCGGAAATGTCTCTGTTCTAAATGTTAAACTTAATTTTGTTGTAATTGACTTAAATCCAATGATTACCTCAGCTCACAGCCAGCTGAAGAGAGAAAGCGAGAGTACCTATGTGTTTCTAAGTTTCCATTGCTCTAGAGTTTGTTTTATTAAAGTTTCATTATTGTCATTAGATGTGTTAAGCCCTGTGTGCTAAGTTAATACAGGTAGAGATTTTTTTTTTTTGTTTTTTTTTTATGGCGTTTACCGTAGTTTTAATTTTACCTTCCTCTCTCAAAAGTAAATAAGTTATCTGATACCGCTCTTGAAGTGACCGCTAAGTAAAGTATCATATGATTGCGCGTTGATAGTGTAACGTTCCTATCTACTTTGCGCCTTCTCCTTTGCAAAATACCAGAAATGGGGTCCAATTTATCTCTAGACTGAAATACTGTGGTACTACTAGTTAGGTTGTTCGTTAGGTTGGCCTTGAGAAGAAATACTGATTGTCAGAAATTGCCAATTCAGGTTACTATGCACATATGAATGGAGTTGTTAGGTTTTTTGTTGTTTTGTAATGTAATCTATAGTAATGTGGCCAATAATTATAAAATAAACATCAGCGCTAGCGTTTCAATAGGATTGTGGAGAGCTGATCGTTTGCAGAATTATCAAGCAAAAACTGTTGCAAATATTGAAGTGTGATTTCTTTGCATTAAACCTTTGCGGAAGGCAGGTTCAGACAGAGTACTGATGGATTTGGCTGGTGTCAACCAAATAAAGGATAAGATACACTTCAAAGTTATTAGTTCTTCTGACGTCGCCATTCTTCAGAAATAGTCTTAAATGAGCGTCATACACCCATGAAATAAAGTTGCAAAAGTGCTTTTTAAATACGAATTTCTCCGCCGGTAATATGCAGAATTAAGGTTGCAAGTCGCGCTAAAGCTACGGTAAGAGAGGAAGCTTGACTAAATTTCGTCCATGACAAAGTTGGAGACCTCGAATCACACCCACTTAAAATTTGAGGTGCTCCACATGTGCATGCCACTGCGAGGATGTATTGCCAAAACTGTCACGAAAGTTTCATTCCGACACCAATACTAACAAAAGTAGGAGAATAGCCGATTTAATGAAAAGTTCGAGATAAGAAGAGCGTTGGAGCAAAATAAGAAGACTTATCGAGTAAAACATTACTGAAATGTTCTCATTGTGACAATAGGTCTTTTAGAGTCTTGTAATCGGGTTGTGAAACATGTGCGCTCTTGCTGGGGAAAAAAACCTGACGTAATAAAATTTAAGGACATTTCCTGACCTGGGCACGTGCGGAGTCGACGATGGTAAATTTCTTTGTACTCAATATTGTTTCGAGTCAAACTCACAAACACGATCTCTCGTAAACAAACTTTCTCTCACTTCCTAAAAGATCCGATACTATTGGTATGCTCCACTTCAAAACAACTATTCACAGACATGGTCACCGTGGAGCTGGCTTGAGAATACCGGAAATGAGCGGAGACATGAATTGCGTAAGTAAGCGCTTGAGACATGGATCATGTGCGCATTGAAAGAACCTGAGACGGTGTAAACATATTGTTTGTTATTGCTAGTCTACCGTGCTTGCACCTAGAAGGTAGGCTTTATCTTTGTTCTCCGAAAGTGCAGTTGGGAACTGAACAAGTCAAAGGCCTGGATAAACAAAATTACTCGACATGGAAATCTACCTCGCAAGGTCAAACACCCTCAGGTTTCTCCTGGTTGCAGCACTACTCGTTGCTTTTCAGGTAGGGTTACTTCTTTCGCGCAAAGGCCCAACGATTTATGTCATAACAGTTCTCGGACTTGTACCTCAAAATTTTTTTTCAGGATATTTACGAATCACAAAGTTAGTTCAACACTTCTTTGCAATATACTGCTCTGTTTTGAAAACTGTCAGCCACTTGCTATCTGTGCAACACGCTAAATTGCTAAATATTTGAGTTCCGTTGAGAAACGTTCTGAACAGGAAGTGTAAAACATAAATTACGCTTGAGCACAGTGGATTGATTCTTCAATTTTACTTTTCTGTTCCAACGCATGCTTCGCGAAAATTTTCGATGTCAGAAATTATTCAGAAATTTAGACTTGTTTTCTTATTTCATGGTCTTGCAAAACCGCTTGCGTGTGGTAGGGATAATTAAGCTGGTATTCTGTGACTTTCCGGTGACTTTTCTATTAGTTGCAAGTGATCAGGGCATGTGTTAATTATCACGCGGCGATTCAATTTTATGAAGATTATCTCGCATTTACTGAAAACGTTTTCACAGAGTCGGTTCAAGGTAATGCTAGTTGAAATGAGTGCAAGGATGAGACAAAAAATCGATACCCTCGACTGAAGAATGATTTGGATACATAATCTTAACTGGGAACATAGCCTTTCGCAATATTCATTTCAAGTTTGGTTTCCGGCTACATTAGTTACAAGATCACTTGAGGAAAAGTTTGATACTTATAAAAGTTTACGGGAGCTGAGGCGCATCGATTTTCGACTAATGAAAGGCATCTTATGCCTTTCTGTACGCCTTAGTAACTTTTTGTCTCGCAAGAGTTCTCAAGCGAAACGTTTCGTTATATCTATGTATGAACTGAGCTTTGTTGAAAAACAGTGACATGTCTTGCATCGAAATGGGAGGTGTTTGAAAAAGGATTATGAGCAAACAAGTTGTTCGCTCTGGCTGAAGGTTAACTGTCGTCAAAAAGCGAGATGTATGAAGCACCTCAAAGAAAAAAAAAATGAAAATGAAAATTAAATCGCAATGCCAATATACATAAAGGGATTCATGGAACTCTGTTATGTAACTTTTTTTTCAGAATAAAATATCTGAAAGTCTGATGCGAATCGATTTTTCCTAGAAAAACCATAATGTGAAACTCAGCAGTTATCTTTTTCTCGACCCCATTTCATGCAGTTTCGTTTACTTTCAAAACAAGAAAACATAAGTTTTCCATTTCTTGCCGTCAGTTAGAACATAAACCTACTTTGCATACTTTCCTTCTTGCAGTAATTAATTTTCAGTGTTTACGTTTAAGAGAGTGTAATTTCTAGAAACGGATTTCTTCTCAGTTGTCAACGCATTGGAGTCTCACACTTAAATAGGGTTGCCTTCATTTTTAATGGCAATGGGACCGAGTTGAGTCCACTTCTCTATGTAGTGATGCGCGTGATAAGTGAAATCAGACTACCGCGAAGCGGAGTCACGAGTATGATGATGGAAGAAATTCCTAAGACCAACAAGTCAAAACTATAACAACATTTGAGAGACATCGGTTATACGGTTTCACAAAATCTATCGTTTCTTACAGAAGGTAGTAGCCACAAAAATGTTTATTTACAGACATTTTCTCTGCAATAGACACATTACTCATTTGAGCACTGCTAATATGTTAACTCAAAAATATGACAATAGTGTGTAGTTCAAAGCCGCTTTGTATGAAATATTACATATATGCAAAGTTAGAATACAGTAGTTACTGCAGTTAAAAATTACGACTGCGTTGATCACTAAGATTGATCGTTTAGGTTTTTTTGAAACAATATGCATCTGCTTCATGAGAGGGGGGGGGGGAGGTGGGAGGGGTAAAGTATGAACCAAAGACCAAAGCGCGATTAATTGACGAACTGACTCCAGTGGTAGACTAGAACCAGAACTAGAACTACGATGATAAGTAAATATGATTAAACATCTAATCAGGAGAGCTGTTTTACTTCCCAAGGTTCCGACTTCAGCTGGTCCTGGTGGAAAGGTTTCACTACTTCTCAAAAGTTTCTCAAATCCATCAAATAAAGACTTGAACGGAGATTGTTGTGAACCATCTTGTAGGAGTTGTGACTATTACTTGGAAATTTGTCTGAAACAATCTGTTGGCGGATCTTGTTTGGTCTCTGCGACGACAAATACATATCATGACACCAAGCATGTTGTCTTTGGTGCAAACGAAGGCTTCTATCGTGGAGGAAGAAACCCACTGATATGGAGTTTCTCTTCGTGGAAGGTATGCCGGAGTAAGCCAGAGTAAGGCGATCAAACATAAGTATATAGGTCTATCTTACAAATCGTGAGAGTTTCTACATCATTGCTTCTCTGCATGAATTATATTGCTTTTAACGCTTTTACGAAACAATTCTTCTTTCCTTTCTTATGAATGTTCTTTTTTGGACTGGAAATTGTTGATAAATATCGAGCCCCTTCACGCCCAGCAAAAAACATTGAGGGTCTGGAAAACTTGACTGATAGCAGTTGATGATTAACTATCCTCGTAGATAATTTTCCTTCTCAATATCAATGTACTTTTTGCTGAGGAAACTATCACTATCATCATTCATGAAGCAGTAAAAGTAAGATAAAGTAACGACTATAACTTTTTTAGGGTTCGTTCGTGGTAAGTGTCAAAGCCATGGATTATGATCCACTATCATCGGATGACATGATAGACAGATACGAAAAGAAAGTCACCGTCATTCCTAGTTCATGGACTTCCTCCAAGAATTGGCGGGAAATCACTTTGGGTGGTAACCCGTCTACGACTGTTTTGCAATACACAGTCCAGTGCAGCAAAGATTATTATGGTCCTAGTTGTACCACGCTTTGTATAGAGCGCGATGACAACATAGCAGGTCATTACACGTGCGATAAAACTACTGGTCATAAGGTTTGCCGCGTTGGATGGTATGGTGCCAGCTGTAAGGTATACTGTATACCTCACGATGACAACACAAACGGACACTACACATGCGAGCCAGGGACAGGAAGAAAGATTTGTCTTTATGGATGGTATGGACTCAGCTGTAAGGTACACTGTGTCCCAAGGAATGACTCGCTGGCGGGTTATAATTGCGATTCCCAGGGACAAAAAAATTGTTTGCATAACTGGTATGGCAAAAATAAATGTACTGTTTATTGCAAACAGACCAACGATTCTAAGGCTGGCTACATGTGTGACTCAAATGGAAACAGGATGTGTTTACAAGGCTGGTATGGACCTTCATGCGATTGCAAAGCAAGGAACGACTCTTCCATGGGTTACACCTGTAATATTACAACCGGAAGAAGAATCTGCCTTGAGGGATGGTTCGGCGACTATTGTGACATTTTCTGTTCCCCAAGAAATGATTCAGCAGGTCATTACATTTGCAACAGTGGCACTGGAGCTAAAGAGTGTCTGCTCAACTGGTATGGAGAAAACTGTACTGTTTACTGCCAATCTAGGAATAATTCTATTGGTCAGCACGAGTGCACTGTAAATGGGAGTAAGCTGTGTGCACGTAACTGGTATGGACCCAACTGCACAATTTATTGCGCCTTAAGAGATGATCAGACGGGTCACTTCACTTGTCACCCAAAGACAGGACGGATGATTTGTAATCCGGGCTGGTATGGTGGCAATTGTACTACTTTCTGCGTTCCTCAAGATAGTGATTGGTATGGGCATTACAATTGTAACAAGATCGATGGAAGTAAGATGTGTCATAGTAACTGGTATGGAGCTCAGTGCTCTACCTTCTGTTCTCCTCAAAATAACTCGGACGGGCATTACAAGTGCGATAAGAGAAATGGCAGCAAGATTTGCTTGGATAACTGGTATGGAACCGAGTGCAAATCTTTTTGCAAGGCAACAAACAATTCAGAAGGACACTACCGTTGTGCGATAGAGGACGGGACCAAGATTTGTGACCGGAGCTGGTTTGGACAAAACTGCACCATTTATTGCACAGCGAGAAATGACTCTCAAGGGCATTACGTATGCGATCCTCGCGACGGTAGCAAGATGTGTCACCGGGGCTGGTTTGGTCGAAATTGCTCAATGCATTGTGTACCCAGCAACAACTCTAAGGGACATTACGACTGTAGGTCTGAGGAAGGTACAAAGATATGTCACCAAACTTGGTATGGCCCTAACTGCTCCACTAATTGTATCCCTAGGGATGACTCCGTCGGCCACTATAGTTGTGATGCCACCAATGGAAGCAAGGTATGTAACTTGCATTGGTATGGACCTAACTGCACTGCATTTTGCAAGGCGCAAAACAACAACGAAGGGCATTACACGTGTGAGGAGGACACCGGCCAAAAACTGTGTTTGAAAGGTTGGCAAGGAGAAGCGTGTCTTCAAAGTAAGTGTACTGAGTTGTGAATGTTTTCCTTTCCTTATTATTGATCATCCGGTCAACCCAGAAAATGCAGGTAGAAAGTGTTTGGATGAAATGACTTGAAAAAATGTCGCAAAATAAATAAGTTAAAGTAAGAGTAGTTGCTATTATTGCTGAACTTTATTTTCTTTTTATTTTTAAGAAGTTATATCTACATCTCACCCATCTATAAGGACTCCTACGTCATTGTCGTCTTTCCCGACCGGAAAGAAAACCACAGACCACATTATTACGACTGCGTTCTTCCCTCAGACCGAGATGTCAACTACGGAGTCGACTGAAGAAAATAGCGCTGTGGAAAAGGAAAGTAGAAAGGCAGATGAGGAAGGATGGTTGACTAAAACGCGGATCGGTTTGATCACTGGAGGCTTTGCATTACTACTGTGTATATGTGCCATAATTATGATAGCTATGCTAAGGTCAGTATCTCTTTGCAGAAATCACGTGCATGTTTCATTTTGTATAAATTACCTGTTAGATTCGGATCTAATGAAAAGGGAGAGATTCCTTAGGTGTCTAGCCTAAGCTAACCAAACTAATCCGGAAATTTGGGATTAAAATATCATGAAATGCGCGTATTTTTTGTGATTCACATTAAAAAGCAGGACTGTTTAGATACCTTTTCGGATGATTTTAAAGTTGTTCTGAAAGAAGAGCCTTCCCAATTTGCCGTATTCATTGGACTTGAGGAACGAACCGGGAACAAACCAAAGGTTTGACCAGCGAGTTCAGTAAGAAGAAGATCCAAGTGTCCATGTACATATTTCCTATTTCAGTTTAACTGTGTATTAAGGAATTCGAGTTCATTCAGGCTTCTTTTGTTCAACCTCAGTTGCAGGCCAAAAGCCAAGCGAGTTCCCTATTTTAGACAAAAAAATGAAACACAGATGCATTCATCAGAAAGACGAGCAAGTGGTAGAGTAAACCCATTAGCAGACGATATCCTGACGCAATATGAAATGAACGAAATGTTCTTCAAGGTTCAACAAGTCTCTTGGTGAGTTTCTTTCTCTGCTAAAAAGGACTGGATTGATTTTTGGTGACTGGAATCTCCCTTATGTTGGATGAGTAATGCAATTTATACATGTTGAAGAGTACGATCGTGTTTGACTTAAAATCCTTTTTTTTTTTCATTCAGAGCACATACATATGATAAAAACAACTTAAGGTCACCCTGTAACTTAAATAAACTATTCTCGTTCTGATGAAGTAAAATAAAGATAACTTTAACTTTTCTTCAAGAAACGCAAAAATTCGCAATAAACGGAAAGTTCAAGGCCTACTTCGGTGAGAAAAAGGTATAAGCTTTACATCAAACAATTTGATACCATCTGTTTTTTATGATAACCGGAGGTAAACCAATTAGTTTTTGTTTTTTTGTTTATTGCACCGTCTCTTTAAATTCAAAGACATCTTTGCACCTTGCAGAAATAAACTCAGGTTGTCATAATTTGGGTGTTTTCAAAGAACTCTTAAGCCACTTTAACCTTTTTAGAATATTTGGTGAAGACTGATTTGACTATTCATTTTTTTTCCTTGTGTAGGATTGAAGACGGCTCAAGACAAGTAGACGACCACCTGGTGATGTACAATAATCCACTTTTTGCTCCACGAAAACAAAAACCCAAGTGCGGTACCAGTGACAAACAACTAAAACTTGACAACGATTGGAATGTTGTGTTTGATTTGTGAACAAAAGGGTAAAATTGACAAGTTGACAGAAGTTGTAAATTTAATTCCATATGAAATCGAGCTTCAGGTATAAAAATAGCCGTAAAGGCGGACAAGTGACACCAGGAAACAGATTGCTCTTATGTATAATAAAATCACTGGTGAGATTTCATACAAATGAAAGGTCAGAAAATTGCGTCTGAAAATTGCTCATCTACGAGTCGAAATTTCATTATGAGGGGCTAAACGTGCCTTTGATCTGAGATTCTAGATTACAACCTTGTAGACGAATCTCCTTTTTTTGTCAAAAATGTCTGAAATTTCTTCGCAGTGAGAACTCAGGCCGCAGGAGCCACGCTAACCTGTCAACACATTTATTTATAAATCAATTTACATTTCCGTTTGTTTGGTCATTAGGAAGTTTCGAGACCACTGTTGCAGATCTTGAAGTAACCAGACTCTTCATGTTATAAAGTCTGGAATTGGCTATTGGTCCCATAAAATCGGGTCCACGCGTGATTTTAGGATGAGTACTCTCTGCTACTTGAGTGCTTGAATCCTGCAGGGATCTAAAACTAATTATACATCTATTGTGGAAGAAATTAAAGAATGCTTTTTTCTTTTAGGAAGGATTCGTTTTCAATCAGTCAAGTTTAAAGAGTGTTAAGCCGGAATTCTTTGAGAATTCTCTAGAAGTTGTATTTGTTTACCAAAGCATATCAACTACTCTTTCAGCACTCAACTTTTGGAGCGATCTTTCCAATATCCATTTACTATAAACGGATGAACACCTTGTAACAAGAGGAGAGGCATTAAACATAGGCCTGGAGCTCATTAATGGGCTCTTGCATTGGCTTAGTTCCATTTAATCTTCCAGAAATGGGGTATTACTAAATAGTGGATCAGCGGACGGTAGAACCTCCGGAACCCATGTTTCTCTGTGAAAGAAAAGTAATCAGATAAACAAGAAACTAAAAAGACTCTAACACTGTCTGAAAGTTCGTTTTCGGGTATAAAGAAGAATACTTTAAAAGAGAAATATGTTTTAACCGTCCTTGACGTCCAACTCCAATTGTAGCGACATTCACAGTACTAGTACAAGGGTATATAAGATCATTAGGAACAATCAGCAGTCACCTACCCTGAGTGATGATAATTGAACAATAATTTAAAAGCTCGAACAGTTTGGGTACCGCGGTATCTGAACAACCCCTCATCCGAAGGATATCAGCAAACTTTTAGGCTGGAATCTAGAACAGTATTCGGGTGCTTTTAGTTTTTATTATAATTTTTTTGATGAAAATTAATAGTTCTGCAGGTTCCTTAAGTTCTGCCGGTTCCACTGATTCCAGTGGTTCCGCGGTGTACTCATCTTTAAATTAGTAACACTCCCAGAAATGCCGAACAAGATCTCCACACCTATATAATCCAAGCGTGAACTATTGGAGTTCATTTCAGCGGGTGTGCCGACACAGCCCTGTTCAAGTTGTTGTTCGGTTTCCAGATACAGATCCTTACTAAGTGCCAACGCCGAGCGATAGAAAACGGAAAATGAAGTTACTTCCACTGCTATCAACTGCGTCGATGATGCTTTTCTTTGTGGTAAGTCCTTTCAGTTACGCTGCATAGACAACTATGCCTTAAAGGAGGTGTAGTTGATGGAAACTGCTGGAAAGTGAATTAAAAAAGGTTCCAATCTTTGTTTCGTGGCCAATGAAATATAAGGCTAGGGAAAAGATAAAACCAAGCCTCGCGCCAGGTTAATGATTTAATCATGATTTTGTTGTGGGATCTCTGATCAACTGAACAACAACGAACTCGATGGCGGTGGTTACTAGAGCATGGAATGGCTTAAATCCACCTAAAAGCAGCTACAACCACCTAAAACCACCTAAAACCACTTGAAACCACCTACAACCACCTTCAGAATACTATTTTAAACATTTTGAAGCATTTTTGTGACAATTTTGTTGACAAATATAAATACCCACGGGAAATGTTGTCTTGTTTCGTGGGTCCCCGTCAACAGCGAAAACTAATACCCCTGAAAATTAAGTCACTGTGTGCGACCTTTGTCTATCCAATGGCTCGCATGACCGGGGAAAAACACAAGTCAAATTGTTTACACAGGAGCAGCACCAAGAGCATTGACCCTTTTCGAGAGATACATAGACTACGTTTTAGAGGTCTGCTTTTTTCAATGTCTGACAAGGGTGAACGGGACACCAAGCAGGTAGTCGAAAATTTGATGAGGTTACGTAATATAACATCAGGGGTGATGTGTGTAAAGAAAACCCGAGCAACCCTAACCATCTGAAATTGCTTCAAATCGGGCTGTGGAGCGAGCGTACAAGAAAAAAAACAAAACAGTTTTATAGTGAGTTGGTATTACTCAGAGAAAAAAATTAAATTGACTGAGAATAGGAAACCACGAAAAGAACAATAACATTTGAAACGATGTGTGAGAAACAGAACTTTCAAATCTCGCGATATTCATGTAGCTTACAAATTCCCTAAAATTACCGCACTTAAAAGCAGCATCCTTACGAGTCCCAAACGCGAAATAGATCGAGCTCTCGTAACCTACGACATGCTGGCATTAATTTGTTCCGATTCTAGCTCTCGGTTTACCCGGCAGAGGCTTTTCATGCGGGTTTCGGGCTTCGGTTAGTCTTTACTTTGACCCACGCGAAAGCCTCTGGAACGGTCACTGACCAGTTCTATCGACCCGCCGATGGCTTTCGTACTTGGACCACGTAGGTTCTTATATACTACGTATTTCTGGTCGTTAGTTTACGGAAGGCGCTGGCTAAAGAGTGAGAGGATTCTCTGAAATTATTCAAATTCAATTGTTTTCTTTGTGCAGTGCTCCTCCGTGGCACGTCCAAAACGGGCCGTTTGTCTAGGATCAGGTTACCAAATTCTCTTCTTATTGCAAGAATTGTCGCAAGCTTGGAACCAAATCTCATCCGTAAACAGTTTCTGTTATTTGTTCAAATTATTGGGCCTGTTTGGATGTTCTATATATCACAAATAGATTAAGGAAATTTGAGAGTGTTAGAGCCCTGGTGCAGAATTTGAAATTAAATAAATTGAATCGCTGGAATCTTCTTTCAGACTCAAACGGACCTTTGGACCTCTTTTTGTTACAAAGGTATGACATGAATACAGATGTATCCGCTTTAGGTTACTTCCCACCTTCATGGGCCGAAAAAAGGGGTTTTTTTCTTACTAGACAAAACTGACTTCAAACATTTTACCTAACGTTTTCAAGAAAAAAATTTTAAAAATCTCCTAAAGCTCTAAAAGTTATTTTAAAAAACGTAATTTCAGATGAAAGCTAGTAAATCAAGTAGGTGTCATAATCTCGAACCTGGGCGAATTCCTTGGAGGAAATTTTCTCGGCAAGCTCGTTTTTCATGTTATTTGCATCGCGCACCTGACAAAATTCACATGTGGAAGCTCTCTGCTTGGGGAAAAATCTCTTCTCATGGAAAAATCAAAGGAAGAAGAATTTCCATAGTAAAAAAAAAAAGAAAGAGTACCATTCTATCAAGAAAAGAAAAAAACCCTCGGTGAAAGCGACTGGTAGTGGCGGAGTCCAGATTACGAACAAAGAAGTCGCGTCATAAACAAAATTTGTCATACTTAAAGTCAAAACGAGTTTTCCTTTTCTTTATACAAAAAAACTAGCACTTGTCTTACTTTTCAAGCTAGCGGCTGCAGCGAAACTGAAAAATCACATTAGAGGATAATTTTATTTTCACGAGCAGAAGACTCGCCAAGTAATTAATGAATCTATCAGGTTTCAAGTGGTAATTTGCTTGAATATCGGCAAACAGCAAACTCCCGAACTTCCAAGGGTTTCCCCGCAAATAGGAGTAATCTCGTCCTCATAGTGAACGTGAACGAACGAGCATCTTTCCGCGCCTAATGGAGGCTATTCTGTTTATTATCCTTCCAATATTTTTGCAAATTTTGGGTTAAGAAATGTTTATGAACAGCTTATCGTTCACTGCGTGGAATGTTCACTTTTCAGCGTTCCCTGCTACGATTTTATAAACAAACAAAACATGTCCCCTCTTTTATAACAACCACAAAACGCTCTCTCACCACATTTTAACTTTAAAAGAAGACTTATCGTAATGGACGTAGAGCTCGAAAATCATCGGGAATATCGATCACTTATAGACGCATCACGTTGACAGGTATTCCTCAGCTAAACTGGGGGAATATCCGAGGATATCACTCAAGTGATATTCCCCAATTTTCAAATCTTACGTTCACTACGATAAGTCGTCGTTTAAAATTTAATTAATGATGAGAGAGCGTTTCATTGTTGTTACGGAAGAATTGTTCATTAAGTCGCACAAGAGAACACTCAAACAACACACCCCACATAGAAAACAGTAAGCTGTTCGTACACATTCTTTTCACACGCTTTGCAAAATATTTGAAAGATAAGAAACACAATAGCCTCTATTTTGCGCGAAAATATGCTGGTATATTTGTTCTTGGTCATAATCTGTTTCTTGAAGCTCACTTCTTTCCATGCCATCAGATTTTTTTGTTCCTTGAATTTTGCCTCTGAACGTTTTTGTACGTGGATATCGATACAAATATGTTCTTCATTACAAAAAGTAAATCTAAAACAAGGAAAAACATTTTTAAAATTATCGTTTTCAATAACATGGTACAGAGCAGAAATTGATCTGGAAAAGCGTCTGAAAAAGGAAGATGTTAAAAGGAAGGTGAGTTGTACTGGCTGACTCACGCCGTGACCGGTCAGCAGTCATCTCACGCATACTTCAACACCCTTTTACCCATTTTGTCTACGAGTTTTGTACTATCAATTTAAATGTTTAATCTGTTGATTCACACTAACCCTGACATCAGCTCAAACTCTGCAATCTTCCTTTTTCTAAAGAATGTTAACATAACAATGAATTTTTCTCCATCTCACTTCTTTACACTTTCCATCTCCATCTTCATCTTAGAAAGCCACCGAGTAGAGCTCGAAAGGGTCTTTTAAATCAATTTTTTTCCATTTGTTACAGATGTCGTGTGAAGGGAGTGGACGTGTGGTCGTGACCCTAAAATATTACAAAAATCCTTCTCACAGGACCTACGAATTCAAATGCTGTGACGCTGGGTTATTTGGTTGCTCTGGTGGATGTGAAGCATATTTCAAAATTTGTGTGACAAAGTCAGCCTCCGCCAATACGCATTCCTGTAACATGGGAACTACACAGACTGCAGTCATTGGCAACAGGGATGATCATAGACTAAATTTAAGAAAAGAGTTCGCATTCACATCCTTACAAGTAAGCCATAAAATTTTGCGATTTTGTTTGCCTGGTGCACTGGCAAAATTTGCTTTGCTCCATGTCCAAAAATATCGGCAAAATTTGTCAATCGTGGGCGCTCTGAAAAGTAGAAAAAAAATTGTTGACGACCGAGTGTCAACCACATCGATGTAAAAATTGAGCAGAACTTAGACTTGGAGATTCAGCCTGAACGTAAAATTGGACGCCATGATAGTTTTTTCTGAGTATCCTGAGTACTGATCATCATGCAGAATCTTCCATCTTCACCGATTGATTGCCGCGTAAAAATCAAATCTTTTCTCCTTCAAATCGTGGTTTTTAAATTGAAAAAAGTTGTCGGATTTCACGCCTGACAAAAATTTGTACTGCTCTGAGGTAGGACGACAGCGCCTATGTTGATTGGTAGGTCTTGACAAAATTTGATTGGATAAAAAAATCACCGGGCGCACTTGTCTCACGGGACTGATGACAGATTTTTTTGCAAAACAAACAAAAATTTGCCAAGTGCGTCATTCTACAGCCAAAGCATCCGCGCGTTTGCCCTTAAAACACTCACATAGGTTTGAGTACTTATAATGGACTGTGTGTGTTTGTGAATGTAAGAGATTGTTTACTAATACAGAAATTACTTTCTCCAAAGGAATTCGTTAATTTGAAGGTGCAAGTCTGGGACCATGACAAAATTCTTAAAGATGACCTAGTGGAGACGTTTTTTAGCTCGAATAAACCTTGGTTGCCTAACCATGGCCATCAGAAAAAGACCATACGACATAAGAGCAGGGTTGTTCAGTTAACACTTGACCTCGAGGTATACTGCAACAAGAACTACTACGGCCCTCACTGCACAAAGCAGTGTGTCCCAGGAAAAACCTACACGTGTGGATTGCTGGGAGAAAAGGTTTGCCGAGCTAACTGGTATGGTAAGAGCTGCACTGTGGAGTGTATCCCGCGGGATGACTGGAGGGGACACTACACCTGCGATAAAATGGGGAAAAAGGTCTGTAGATCAAGTTATTATGGAGAGAGCTGCACTCGATGGTGTGCCCCTCGAGATGACCCGCGAGATGGACATTTCAATTGTGATAGACAGGGAAACAAAATCTGTCTACCTCGTTGGGAAGGGCCATCCTGTAAACGATGCGTGAAAAACTGGTTTGGTCCTGGTTGTTCTACATACTGTGTACCTCAAGACAGTTACGAGCTTGGACATTACAAGTAAGTTGTTCCATATGCAGTTTGCGCAAATGTGCAAGGTATTTCAAGGCGTGTTTTATTGTCCTTGTTAATGCTCATAAGAAAGAGATCCAAAGTAAAAAATAGCCGAGACGAAAAAAAATTAGCTACCTAAAAAGTAGTTTAGCCACTGTTAGTAATGGGTTCGTTCGGTTGTTTGGGAAAACAGGTCAGTAGTATTGTTCCCAGTTTTATACATTACGCTTTCTTAGACACTAAAAAGTGCATTTACCTCTACAGATGCAGCCAATCAGATGGAACGAAACAATGCTTACCGTGGTGGTTTGGTAGCGACTGCAAGGCGCACTGCATTCCTCATGACGATGATGACAACGGCCATTATAGCTGTGCACGTGACGGAAAAAAGACATGCCATGACGGATGGCACGGAGAGAACTGCACAGTGTTTTGCATTCCTCAAGATGATGACATACGAGGCCACTATACTTGTGACGACGAAGGCGGCAAAGTCTGTTTAAACGGGTATCGCTCTCCAGACTGCATGGACTGCCTACTGGGTCGGTATGGAGCAAATTGTTCTTTATCCTGCTTGGTGAATGACACGTACGGCTTCCAGCAAGGCTACATCTATTGTTCTGACGGTGGAGTTAAGCAATGCAAGAAGTGGTGGCATGGCCCAGAGTGTCTCCAGTATTGTGTCCCTCATGATGACAACGAGCACGGGCATTACACGTGCGGGGCAGGAGATGGAAGTAAAGTATGCAGACCTGGCTGGGAAGGGCTAAGCTGTCTTAATCGAAAAAAGAACTGAGCATGCGGTTTTGACAGAGAAGTCAGTAGATTAACATATAGCATGAACTTTTTGCGGGAAGTATTCTGCAGAATAACAATTTTTTTTTCATAGCAATTTTTTTTTTCTATTTTTGTTGTTTTTCAGTTGTTTTTTTTTCTCTGATATAAAACACATTTGTACTGTAGTATTGCACTTTTTAAAATGTTACCTCTCATAATTAGAGATTATTACGCCGTATGTTTAAACAAGTAGGGGTATTGTTACGTGATTCTAGATGTGTTATTACGATTTCGCAACACCAGTATTTTGTTAAGACAGGCGGCTAGTTTGTCCTGATAGCCAGTGACCTATCGTGCGTAAATATAGTTTTAACTGTTAATTGCTGTCTATTGTAAACAGTGGCCGGCAAGTGACAACATGTGTCAAAAAATATATTTTGACTAGAAACTAAAAGCAGCAAATACGTCCAAAAATAACCATTTACTTCTGCACTTCGTTATCTTTTCATTGTATTGTTTTTTTTTTTATCTCACCATGATGCAAATAAAGCACATATTTTTCACTATTACTTCCCTTTCATCTGTTCCTTTTTTTATCACGTGTTGACAGGAGCTCATTGGTGTTGATAACCTTTGCGGTCTAAATGGCCTATGGGCAGACACGAAAAAATATCACGGGTGGTATATTATGAAACTCATCGCAGTCATGAGTTGTGAGCCATCAAATTATCTCTGTTCTGCGAGTTTTCCTTTATTTCTCTGCATTATACCTTTTGTTAAAACTCTCTATCTCTACAGCCCACGATGGAGGGATATGAGCTGAATGTCAGGAAATTGGGCTCCAGCTGCGTATTCCAGGGGGGAGGGGGAGGGAGAAATTCTTCTATGAAATCAGACTATTGATTGGCAGTTACGTTATTAATCAGTTATTTCCAAAAAGGTGAAGCCTCTAACACTATCCCCGAGAATGAGTCTAAAATGTCAAATATCTAGAGGTACCTCAAAGTAGTGCAAGATGCACCCCCCACCCCTAAAATGTTTTTTTTTTTGATGCTCCGCTCTCCCCTTCCTCCCCACTTCAGGGCGTATGTCATGTTTGCTCAAACGTAGCAGTATCCAAAATAATCTAGGCTTTTGGCCATGAGTCAATAATCCGATATCTGATCGTCTTAAAAAAAAGGCAATTTCATGCTTAAGGCTCTATGCAGCATTGGGGTCCATTGTCAACGAATGTTAAAAAATTCGGCTGAAACAACGATACACAAGTAACAGAACGACGATACACAAGTAGCAGTCTCACTATATTGCCACTGGTACCATATAATTGAAGTTATATCTTGAACAATTTACGAAATGCTCCTCTGGTTTGTTGGCGCTGTGGCTGGGATTTTGACCTTCATGGTAAGTGCTTTTGAACATTTTGCTTCTGCTTCATTTGTGTTAAACATGAGCTCAGCGCGCGGGCAGCCAATCCACAACGAATACTTTTAACGAGACTCGCCAAAACAAAAAGAACGAAGAAAACCTCCATGGAAAGCCAAGTGACATTTGAGACTAACGAGCAGGAAAATTATAACGTAATGTAGAAGGAAGTCTTGGCATACTAATGTTCCAGGGTAAACAAAGATCATACAAATGAGAGTAGTAAAAGAGAAATACAAAGTTGACTAAACAGGGCGAAGAGAATTCTAAAATTACTGATTTGCCTGGATGACTGGTATGGAACCGAGTGCAAATCATTTTGAAAGGCAACAAACAATTCAGAAGGACACTACCGGTCGAGCTGAAAAGGAAGATTTTCTTCGTGAGCGCGGAAGGTTTTCCTATCATCACCGGAAATCCTATTATTTCTCGGCGGCGTGAGCTGTGGGAGGAGATGAAAACGAGAGTGTGTTGACCTACTCTCCGTTCGCCAAAGGAAATATCGAGTCAGGTTGTGGAAGTCTGTGGCAATTCCACTATAAATTCAATTTCTTGTCTCAGATCGCGCGATTCGTCATCAAGTTCATATATTATGCAGTTGTTGATTATATCTCATTAGTTCAGTGCTGATCCATCAATCTATTCGGGTAGTCTCGCAGAACACTAAAATTTCATCGAGCCATGATTTGGCTTTTAGAACACATTCGCTTGCAGAGGTTAAATGAGTCTTAAGAAAATGAATTACACACTTCAGATCTGTAGATATCTGATTGGGTGACTTGTATCGAGCGATGAGTGTGTCTATGAGCACAATACACAATAATAATGATTGAGGCAACGGTATTAGTTAATTTAGATATAGCCTTCGCGCTGAGCGCTCGACGAAAACGCGCGTAACGCGAGTGCTACAAAGGAAGAAGACAGGAAAACGCGTGTATGACCACTAGATCTCGTGTGCAGGCCTTAATTATTTGCGCTTAATAAAATCGAGTGTCTCTTGCTCATACTTTAGGT